ATTGTTTATTCGTATATCCCTTCAAAGAGTCCTCAAAACTCCACGTTACAATGACAGGTAAAACATATACGCTAGTTCATTTATTACAAATCCCTAACCAGTTTTGATCTGAACAGCTCTAAAAAGAATGACAATACATTATCTAGTCATATGCATTATCCACCGCAGTATATTAAGTACAATTCTCTTATAGTTTCAGTCTATATTAAGACTGTTCAGTAGTTGTTGTTTACCTGTAAACATCAAACTCATACTGTTTTGTCTGTAAAGCAACCGATCAATGCTGAATGTACTGTAAGCAAATTGTCTGAACAGTACTGAATTAACAACAGTTGATACGTTTGAAAATAGAATGAAAAACAACACATGTCTTTTTAGTTTTATTGCCCAGACTTTTCAGATGATGTTAAGCTTAAACTAACCATTAGGACTAAAATGCATTTATTAATGAGATTTAAATGTACTGTGTTTTATAGAGCCGTAGACTTTTTCTCGTTCTTTGAACTGTATTGGTATATAATAATTATAATGTCAGTGTTTTATCACCATGATCTCTTCTCAGGTACCCGTATGCACAACATTTACTTTAAGTGTGATATATTAACCGATATATGTGTTGACCCATAGTTACTATTATCAACTTATGTAGTATATGTAATGGCTCGATCAAATAATTTGATACCTCTATGTACTGATGTGTTTCCCTCGTTTTTAGTTTGTTACCCGGGTTTGTTTTTGCTTAATCGAATTATGACTATTGAACAGTGGTATATACTGTTGCCTTTATATATCAGTACATTTAGTGAAAGTGTAATTTTCTATAATCCACTTGCATTTTATTTTATGCAACACGAGACTGTGATCATATAGTTTTAGATCTAATTCATACGGTTATTGCATTACAGGGGACCTCAGTAATAGTTTGAAACCGAGTGTTTATCGTCCTGTGCCAATTGAAACGACTGTCTTCCAAATGCTCTTTAATCCTTTTGATCAAATTGGTGTATACGAAAAAGACTTTAAAATACACCTGTGACGAAAATCTTTTGTTCAAACTCTCCATTATTTTTCAGGAATTGAGAATTATTTTTTTATTGTTCGTCTTCATTCATCCGGACGTTTTGCCCTTAGGATATTTCCAAGGGGACTTTCTTAAAATGTGTTCACCCATGGGAATAATTCTAAAGGAAGTAACGCGATACTGAATAATATTAAATCTTAATAGAACGACTGATATTGGATTTTTTTTAAATTGGGATCGTAGTAATACAATGAACACTAAATATCACATTATTAACAAATAACTTTTATTTGCGAGTCGTAACTCCATCGTGTAAAATATAGTATCGTATTCACTAAAATTCAATAATATAATCCACAATTTGTTTGCCGATGCAAATCTTGGTTGAATTTTTGTCACGGATAGTATCCAAGTTGGTAAAAACGAATATTTTCCATTGAGTCTCATTCCTTTTCTGTGCATCTACAAAATATCAAATGTGTTAACTGTTTGTGAGTCAGTGAATTCTATTGTAATATTGGACACAATTACATTATTCAATAATGAAAGTAAGAGAAAAATATATTTCACATATTTGATATTAGTTTTACCGTTTAAGATATCAATACTTGAAATATTTTGATTTTGTACAGCAACAATCGTTTGTTGCATTTACATATATATATATAAATGAAAAACACAAACATTACTCGGATGGTTTCTACAATACTATTGTTGTTTAAAAGAATAGATAGTTCAAGAAACTGAAATGGTCAAAATGGCGTATTCGGTATTTTAATTTATTGTTCGTTGTTAGAATTTAGATAAAGTACTAATGAATACAATTTGAGGGGTATGCATAACATTTGAATAAGGCTTGTGTTAATATTGGGCGGGGTTTTACTTCAATTTTCAACAAAAACTCGTAACATAATCGAATTCATTCACTGTTGTTATATGTCCAGTGGCAAATATAACAGTTATATCGGCAGTGCAAATAAATGGCGTGAATCTTGAAATAAATGTTTAAATGAAATTAAAAGGTAGTTAGTTGTCCACTTAAGTTAAATACATACAAAACGGAATCCAGAAATGCTTTTAATCATGCGGATATTTGGTTCTAAAACTTGTTTGCTTCCTACTGATAATAGGGAAGAATGGAAAATACTTTCAGTCTGCGTGTATTTCTATTTACAAAAAAATGCATAAAAGTTCTGTTCGGTGTAATTAGCAAAGGGAAAGACGAAATGTTGGGTTGTGTATGAAACACTGTTTTCTTGTTTCATTTTATTTCATCGAATAAAATGGTTTGAAATATAGAATACATTTTAGTTTTCGATATGACTGAAAATCGAACACACCGTTATTAGTTATATTACCTATACTAGAGTGTTACACACCTGGAAATCCATTCTAGTTGTACCATTTCACTTTTCACAGACGATTCTACATCATATATTTATCAAAACGACAAACACACATAATCCTTTAACATATATGCATAAATACTAGGTTTTTTATTTACTCTCCCGAAATACCACTTAAAGACACAAATAAATATCCTTTCAATCCCACTACAAGAAAGACGTGCGTATCCAATGACTTTAAACATAAATCTGAATGAACTTTATTCAAGATCTTTTTATAGTAATTATTCTACTGTTCATAAATACTTCGTTAAGTGAGCAGTTGGTCAGCTTGATATTAAATTTTGCCTGCGGATTCTTAGGTACAACACGGGGAAAATTAAAAGAAAACCTTTACAAAATTAAATAAAATTCTTTACAATGTTATAATCTGAAGCTTAGTTTTTAATATTTAAGGTGTATTTCAAGTTAGCGAAATTCCAATTAAATGTCCATTCCTGGGACATAATGGGCGTCGGCCCTACGGGCCTCCGCTCCATTATTTCCCAGGAATTGATAGTTATTTGGACTTTCTCTATAACGTCAAAGGTTGAGTTGTATACATGCATTAAAAGCAAGAATATTCCAGTATCACATCTTAATGTAGTTAAGAAATATGTTATTGATATTAATACGCACAATTCTAAAATTACAAATAAACATCTGGTCCTTGCAAACCGTTTATGTTCGTCCCGATTACGTAGCAGCCAACTATGTGGCAGAAGTGTGCCGTAAATACTTCTTAGAAGTAGCTCTTATAAATGCTATTATAAATTTTCCCACATACAGGTTCATTTGTTATACAGAGAGACAAATACTAAACTAAGCTTAAAGTCCCCTCTAAACAGCTGAATGTCCTTACTATGTACTGGCTACTTCAACTACACAGAAATCTCTTAAATATTATTTTACTACGGCTTCTTTTGGGTGTTATACAACTATTTTTTTTTAATGTGCTTTAACAAGTTTCTTAACTAATGTCTAAGAATTTAAAATCATTAACATTTTTACTAAATCATATGCAAAAAGTGAAATGGATCATTTCTGGAGTTTAAGGTGCATTGCGTTCATTTCATAGGCCTTTTGATTCGGTTGACATGTAATACTGTATATCTGTGAAACAGAAAAACCTAAACCTAGAATAGTTAGTACTGTTTTAATTGGATTTCTTTAAAGTACGTGCTCTTATGTAAAATGTGGCAGTATTTTTGGAGAATACGTGCATACATAATTTGCCACCAAGTTAATGGTACATGATGTTGAATTAAACAATACAATGAAATTTAACCGGATCTTTATTGCAATGAAATTGAGTATTTCTTACATATAATACAAGCAGAAGCAATAGAAATGTATACGAGCTGTGATCCCTATTATCGTTATTGAGTAAGCTTACATTGCATGTATTCTTTAATTAGCTTGATTGTAGGTTTATTGATAAATAATTACACTTAACTGTATTGTATTTGAAGCTTTGCGGACGTCAATCAGTAGTTTTACTGTCGCAAATTGAGTTAACATGGCGACGCGTAGCGGAGCCAGGTTATCGGATATCTGCGACAGTAGTACTACCGATGGACGTCCGTAAAGCTTCAAATACAATACAATTCAGTGTAAATATTTATCAAAAAAAGAAGCTACACAGAAAACCAACGGCTACGCAGAAAAAAACAAAAGGAAATATCGATCCAACAAAAGGAATGAACTCAAACGGTAGACTTGTTTTATTCATGTGACATCACTTAACAAAATCAGGTTAAAAACTGCGGCGGACCATCTTATACTTGTATTTAACATGTTAATTTGTTTCGATCACAATTAGGACGTTTCAAATTGACTGCATTTGACCTTTTTCCGTGTCATTAGAATAATTAACTATCGTGTCTTCCTCGAATTAATTTCTTACATATAATACAATTGTTTGCTTTACAAACAACATCTCATTAGCAATTTAGAATTGATGATACACTAGAAAGTAGTGAATCTCAGTTATCGATCTTTTACCTTTAAACTTAGCATTTTATACGTTTTTTAATCTAACACCGATAATTCCGATATTGTTTTGACGGCTGAGTACCTCGTTCTTGCAAAGGTAGTTGGTTGCATGAATGCAGTACATTTACAAATATAGAAATCGAAACCAAAACTTATGAAGAAAAATATTTGTTTCGAGATAGTAACACTTTCACAGTAAGGCGGACAATATAGATATATCCTTTGCCTTTCATTTCTTTTATCACTTTGAACAAGTTGCCACGCGTATGCGTTAGTTAATGCAATGCGCATATAACTTTGAAAGACTAAGTTTCCATATAAACCAGTTGACCCTTGAATATGAACAATGTCTTTGTCCAATGTTAAGACAGCACACGTTGAAAAAGCTATCCTTTGTACATAAAATAGCATTAATACTAATATGTGCTGTTAGGAAAAAACACAAGCGAGCAATATATTTTGATTGACAGGAACGTCGCCGAATAGGGAATAAGGGGGAAAACATTCATTGCTACGATGCAACGGCGGTCGATATATAAATAAATATTCGTGAAGTTAAATGAACGAGAAAACAAATTTTTTTTTGTGGGGGGGGGGGGGGGGCAATTTCTAGTTGTTATAAATGCATTACACACATACCAGTCAGTCAATAAAAAGGCAATCAAACATCTGAGCAATCAGCGAATATAAAAATGTTTTGACATAAAGTAAAGATTACATCAATGTACAATTTAGTCTCCGGAAAGTTGGAAAATCCTCCTTACTTGTTACTGCACAGTAAACATGTGGTGACTATGTTTTTAAGGGATACATTCTTTATTAAAAATAAGTAGTGTTCGTTTCTCTCATATCTTCAAAGATTCAACCCTATTTGCAAATATTCTTTTGTTATATTTGTGTAAGATCAGACTAACATGAGTAATATGCATAAACAAAGACCGATGTGATATTTCAAGCTTCGCTAATTTAAGCAATTTACACATTGTTTTCATTATCCTTATTTCGTTGTATGTTCGGATCTCCTTTGGTAGATCTTGCTTCCTTCACTTTATTTATCATTATCAGTAGCCATATAAACACAAGTGCACATATTACCACGATGTTATATATTACAAATGGTTTAGAGGCAACCTTCTTTCTACCTAAAATATGAAAATTAGGAGATATCGAATTGTGAGTTTTCAATACGAGTTTAAAACAAATAAACATATAAGAAAACATGTAAACTGTCTGCGTTAGTGCCAAAAAAAAAAAAACAACAAAAAAAAACACACACATTAAAAAGCATGACAATAAAACGCAGTCACTGTTGCAAAACGAAACGCACGTCTGCCGTACTGAATTATAAGCTAGTAAAATTGGATGTGTTTTTATAACATCTCGGTCGATACCACTGCTGGTTGACATTTCGTCACCGAAAGTCTCATCAGCAAAGTATCCAGCACTTTGCGTAAACAAGACATATCATTGGTATGCTAATCTTTTTGTAAATTTACCGTTTACTACCAAAAAAAAAAAAGAAAAACAATCCAAACATGCAGTAACCCTGAGTTGTTAATTTTCAAAGGATAAATTGCCCTTTGTTATTTGACAGTACGTTTCAGAACTTCCGGTTTTAGGCTTTTCTATTTCGTATTTGACTTGGCAACTACCGCCATTAATGAGTTGGATGTTGGCGACACACGTGTATGGCGTCTCAAATTATAAGCCTGGTGTCTTCGGTGAGGTCAATAACCACTGGATTGATTCCACTGCTAGCAGAAATTTATTCCCGAAAGTATAACCAGCCCAGTATATGCAGTAGTTAACATTTTTTTTTTTTGTTGAGACATGACATTTCATTGATATATTTGATTTCTAAAATATACTGTTAATCTAATTTCGGATTGTTAAAAAGCTGAGTTTTAAACCTTCAATAATAGATTACCTTAGACGAATTTGGAATTCTATTCGAAATTTTATGTTCAAATGCTTTAACTTACCTCGATTTGATTTGACCTTACAGCTGTTTTGAATCGATCGGAATGTATGAGTCTTATGCAGACGAAAATGGCATCTGATTTACAAAATTGAGTCTGGTATTTTTATGACCGATTTGTTGGTGTTTGTGTTTTTTAAACTGCATATAAGCTTGATTGTACACAAATTATTTATACAGATAAACGAAGATCACCGATTTTCAACCTTCAACTTTAAACTTTCACATCACGAAATCGGAAAATGTATATAAATAGATACATATTTGTCAGCAATATATTCATAAGAGTTCGAATTATTCAAAGAGAGGGCTTTATATAATTTTGAATTTTCAAAGACAATGCTTACTTCTATGCAGACTGTTTGAGGAGCTAACGTTTAAGTGTATCTAATACATATACGAGATCATGCCTAGAAAAAGTTGATAAAAGGTTTTTGTTTTGATGATAAAAACTACTCTATGTTACAAACGGACATCACAGTAACTTGATGACTTTTGATCGTTTGAATCAGCTAGATTTGTTTTACAAAGAGTGACACACATAAGGGCGATGTGGTATGTTTTCAAATAAGAGTTGTTTATTCCAAGCATAAGTGAGTATTTCAATTTACTATGGAAAGCATATTTGATTATGAGTTTGAACTAAATATTTTCCTCTAGTTCTATTTTGAAACCAGATTTGTTCTTACAAATCACCCAAACCTGCAGATCTCGTTTTGATTCATTCGACATTTATCATTTATATTTTATCATTTTATCATTCATAACATATTTTGTTTGGATTCTATGTCGCGACATTTTATTAGTTTTGTGTATCTGGAAATGCTCCCGTTGACAAAAAAAAATGTTTGAAGTCAATGATTTCTTTCATATAGTCAATAGTATACGATTAGTTTGTTCACATCATCCACGAACTTATATCATACTCTTTTAGCTATATATTACATATTTTATATGTAAATTTGAGTGAATGATGTTATTAATACTTAAAAGCTTTTGTTTACAACTGCCGAACAAGTAATGTTTTCAATCGAAATACCTGATATATAATTTGATCTGCTTTCTGCTACTCCACCACCGTATGTATAACTTACGCCTTGATGGAAGGCTTCACTGGTAGTGTCCTTGATGTATGTTGTAGTTGTGATCCCTTGCACATGCAATTTAATTGTACTGTCGTAGTTACACAACCCTTGAGTCGGTCCTTGAAGACAACTACATTTTCCTGTCATCCATTCACACGTAAATCCAGCAGAACAGTTGCATGTCTGTTGACATCTATTATCAAATTTTCCAGGAAGACAAGCTTTAACATTTAAAAAACATGCTAAGGATTTTGAATTATATGTTAATGGTGTCCACAAATCAAATTGTATTATCAATGATGACTTTTGCATTTGTTAAATATTTTAACTAATGAAATTTGAGATAACAGAATCATTTTATAGAGTGCTTACACAAACTGTCCTGTTAATTTATCATGTTTTCTCACACACTACTAGAGCTTTTCAGAACCACCTAGCCACTATACGACAAAGTCGATTATTAGTACAACCAGATGTGTGTCAACATCGCAGGCCACAAACACAAAGCAAACGACAATTTGAACCGATCTCTGTGCCGGCGGAAAAAAAAGGCAATTTGAAATCATTCTAATATGTATTAAATGCCATACGTCAAAATGTTGTAATTTTATCGTTGGTTCATTGTGTAATGCAAGTATGAAACAGGTTAGTTCAAGCATATTTGTCATCAGGTAGTTATGATGAACAGAACGGACTGATTTATTAAGACTCTGCAACTGTGTTAGTTGAGCAAGCACAAACAAGGCATACAAAACAAATATATAGTACATTTTGCTTTTTCTGGCCCCAGAAATTCGTGTGGGAAATGTAAATTATAACAATGCAAGTCCATGAAGTCTTCTCATCGACAAGGTTTTTTGTCTGATTAGCATTTATTTATCAGAAATTAGGTAAAGCGTACATCAATTAAAATTGTTTATTGAGAAATGTAATGGGGATACATTTAGTAATGTTGAGTATTTCTATCAACCAATGCTTCGATTAAAAAAAAGATTTACAGCCATCAACTGTGATGTAGTTAGAAGAAAAGCAAAGCTGCAAATGAAAAAAGAGAGTTAGAACTAGCAAGATCATATACAAGAATAACCCATATCTATGCATACCTTTCTCACACGCTTCCCCTGAAAAACCGTCTCTGCAGACACAACCGTCGACTTAATGACACACTCCGTCATTTAGACAATTACAACTTTGTTTACATCTAAAGCCATAATAACCATCAGGACAAGACAGTTTGCATTTTAGTCCATATTGACCAGCTGGGCAACCTGAGTAAAAAATGTATATTACAGTTATTATGTAATGTGACTGGACCTCAATAGTACAAGTGCAAGTCGACAAACCAAATTTGAAATTCTTCTTAAGTATTCAAATTTTTTTGACAGTATTTGTAATATACCTGCAATATACGTTATCCGAAATGTACCGATGAAAGAGACACTTGGTTAAAATAATTTAACATATCGTTAAGCATGATGTCAGTTACAAGATTTCAAACAATGAAATTAGTAGTACCGGTTTGCGAATGAAGTCGTTCACTTTGGATATACAGTAACAACCGTATGCGATAATCTGTATTGATTTGTATTGTAAGTTTGTATTTATTGCCCGTGTTAGTCAACTGACTGCGATTAAAACAGGAGAGGATTGAATCCATCTTGAAGACAAGTTTAAACCAAACATATCCATATACATGTCCAATGCTAGGAACTTCGTCAGTGGCTTTGTTTTATCATATCTTATCATGCGTATTTTATTATCTTTTTTATTAAATTGACGTAGACAGCCGATGTATGATAGTTTTAGTTTCATTCATACATATTTTGAAAACATAATTTAAAGTTTAACATATTTTAGCGACTTAGATTTTATATTGAAGTTTGTGTAATGGAAAGGATATCAGGATTTACCGGAAATATTGAACATGACAACAGGCAACATCAACCATGAACATCCGACTCATCGAAACAAAATAAAAAAAAATACACGTTTAGATAAAGTTAAAAAGCGTCGAATAAAATCAGATGGATTCATAATTTTCGCCTGTAAACATACAATGAGCCCATCACGTTCTTTTACGAAGTCATAACATACTAAAACTTGTTGTCGTAAATAGGAATGATTGTTGTGGCAGTGGTTCAGTTGCTTTTGTCAATACTGATAAAAAGACCAATATCAAAACATGAACATATACAAGTTTTGATGATATAAGCTGTTCAATGACGTAAGTATCTTTCCCGAGGACCACAGTATCATAACAAGAAATCAATACATGTACGCATCAAGCCAAACGTGTTTAATGAACTTCAGATTAAGTATGTTAAATACATTTTTAAACAATTATATTTAATGTCATTGCAAATATTTAAACACAGAAGAATATCGATGAAACGTTCTTTTTGAACTGAATATCCTATGACTAATATATTAATGGTGCTATATATCAAGCTAAATGCTGCTAAGGTAGTCCTTCAATAGTTTGATACTAAGTATCAACGTGTTTGAAATTTTTAAACAACAACTGAAATATAGTATGAACAATATTTGGACAACACACACTTATCTTAATAGCGTAATGTACCTTCACAGCGGCCACTGACTTCGTGGAAATCTTTACAGCAGTATTCATGTCTATTATGTTGGGGAAAGATGCTGGAACGTCTACAAAAAAAAGTAAAAAAAAGTAATACATTTAGCAGAAATAAACGCTGGTGTAGATGTAAACATCCCAGAGCAGTTTCAGTGTTCTGTATATCCGTGATTATTAATAACCATAGTTGAATTGGAATTGAAGTAGTCTGTCTATTTCTTGCTTTAACCTTAAATAGAACATATTTTTTAAAAATTACTCACCCGATTAAAGGCCCGTTCAAGTAAATATTAGGTCCCTTCAAACTAATAACAAATCCAAGCTGAACTATGTTAATTACAGACCTAATCCACATGTCTGTGGGTATATCATATGTATATGGTAAAGTGTGGATACATCTTAAGAACAGAGAAAACAAAATATATTTGCCCAACTATAATAAATTGGTATAGATAACCATTTCCTGATTATACAAGTATCACATATTTTCGATTGTTCTTCATATAAGTATGATTTCCTTTAACATATTTATAGTGTATAATTGTTGATTGAAAGCAATATCAAAACGCCCTGAACAATGTCTTATAAATGGAACAGGAAACAATAATTTCTTGTCTCAAAGCTTGTTTTGGTCAGGCTTAGGATTCCGCAATACCTATGAAGGCATATCACTTTCAGCATTTGAAGTAGAACAAAAGTCAATCTCACATTGTCAATGTACAATAAATTAAGAAACAAAAAAAAAAACAATACACAGTATCAAAAAACGTGATGGAATTCGTGTATTTTGCTTCAGTGATACAGTAGCATTTCTATACAAATTTTGCTGTTAATAGAAAACAATATTGTGCCTAAAAAGACATTTGGTAGTTCAATAACTCATCGTGCTGTCCTTGCCAAAATCATATCATTTACAACATGGTTATGTTTACCTTTTTGTTTTGATAAATTATCCTGATCATACAAAAATAGAGACCCTTTACATATCTTTACTCCAATGTTCATGATATTTTTTATAGTTGTCTTTAAAACATTTATTACATTCATTATATATCTGTAGAGTTGATGTAAACACTTGTTTCTAAAAGTCTTCCAACCATTCTGTCTAAACTAAAATAAGACCTTCAGAACTATTCTGATGGGGTATATCCAACCATTCGTTCTCATTCAAATGTGGATTCCTAAACATTCTGCAAAACCTTCATTCACAACCTTTATAATTCTATAGTTATATCAAAACCTTTGATGCGCCTATTGTTTACACAATTATTTCCAATACTCGTTCCAAAGGTCGACTACATCGTTTCATTAAACGGAGATTTTTTTTCTACAAAACGTTGATACACATTTATTATTTGTGGTCCTTCCAAATCTTTCTTTACAAAGTCTTACTTATTGTGCATGTACCAGTTAATCAGCATTTTCAGAGTATTTTTCACCTTCCCATTTCTCACGGAACATACCCACTGTCACATTGTATTACATTTATATATCTTAATTGATATTTTACAATTGTGTTTGTTCACTCTATAAGGACGTCATTAACAATACACTCATCAAAAACACCAGGATTAAAGGTTTGCATGCCAAACGCGCGTTTCGTCTACAAAAGACTCATCGGTGACGCTCGAATAAACAAAGTTTAAAAGGCCAAATAAATCACGAAGTTGGAGAGCATTGAGCACCAAAAGGTCCGAAAGGTTTTGCCAAATATAGATAAAGTTATCTATTTTTGGGGTAGAAAATCATCAGTATTTCGAAAATTTAAAAGTTTTGTAAACAGTTACTTTTTTTATTATGACCATATCAATTACTATTCGTGTCAACAAGGTCGTGTTACGTAAGCAAGAATCCGCTTTTGAAAAAGAACGATTTAAATCGACACCACATTTTGCGTTTACCATTTCGAATTGGTGGACCGTTAGGATGTTTCGGTGTCTTAATAACTGAACAAGTTTTACGGTCTAGGATTTTTAGATACCAGTATAGTCGTCTGATCTGTAATTTTACCATTGGTGTCCTTTTTCCAATTGTGACATTTTTACAAATGTAATTCGCATGGTGGGTGATGTATGCGCAAAAAATAACGCTTACCATATCGACGCACTCAGCAAATTGATTCTATTTCAGATTGTGTGTGTTACCTTTGTTATTTTTATCAATATACGATGTTTGAGCATCTGTAAACTACTGTCGCCTTCAAAAATTATTCGCGATTCATTATTTGCAGTTTTAATTTTTTCAATTTAAGAATAGAAATTCCAAATAGAAATTAATTTTCAATTGTCAGAAATTCAAAATTAGAATTATCAATTGAAAAATAAATGTTTTATTTGTGAATCATGTCTTTTAGACAGTTTTTTGTTGTCGATAGTTATTTTGCTTTTTTAATAGGTTTTTTATTAAAACAAAATTTAATAAATTCCAAAGAATTTCTTGGAATATCACACATCACATATTGAATACCATCTTTTCGGTTATGTTTTTCCGAAAATTATCAACCCGTATTTATGAAAGATGTTCTGATGTTATGGTTGATGTAGACATTTCAATAAAAAATCATATTATTATTCAATGTGTGCGTCATGTCAAATGCAAATCAGGAGGTGGGATATTCGTTAAATAGATAGCAACCTTGGAATTCTTGAAGTATACTATGAAATATATTTTATAAATTTTCGAGCATTAACAATTTTGTCCAGCTAAAATTCAGAAATCAAAAGATTTTGTGACATGCCCTTTTGAAATGTGAACCACAGTACTTAAGAACACAACACGAACATTTTTAAAATGAGGGTAAATTAAATTGAGGAAGGAAATCATTTTAACCCTATTATCGGAATACAATGATGATTTCAAATATCTGATGAATATGTGCGGAAATAATTCATAAAACAAAGGATGTAGCACAAAACATGTGAAGTGTCATCAATTGACGTTTTTTTTTGTGGAAAACTAAATCACATAGTTTTTTTTTCTCTCTCTCTCTCATCGTCCATGACGTCCATCAACATTATAATCATCAACCTTAGTGGTGAGGAAATAATGCAGTTTTACTGCAAAAGATAAAATCATATAATTTAACAAAACAAAGACATTTTTTTGAGGAATACGTGTGATTTACATGTTCCGTGATACTTAAACTGAAACTTATCAACTTCAGTCAAACATACAGTATTTTATTAAGTATTAAAAGGTTCTCGAGTAGTTGTAAGTCAATTAAAGCCATATTATTTGTTGTCATGACTTAAAGAATTCTCATAATCAGACGTTTTTATATTAAAAAAACCTCTGAAAAATCATAAATGAATAACCTAGAATAATAAAGTGCAAGTAAAATAATACATACATACGTTTGTAGTGTTGATGCGTGTAAGGAAAAAAACCAAGAAGTTTGATATGACGGGCTGCTTTTGCGTCGTGAGGAAAAGCGTGATATTCCAATATTTAGTGCATACTCACTAATCTACATGTTATGGGTGTTTCTGCTTTCCTCATACGCAAAGGAGTATGGCCACGAAGTGCCGATATTGGCCCTGTGAGGTGACAAAAAATAAAAGAGAAATAAGGTGGATCCTTTATAGCTAAAACATATCTACGTATATCGTTATTTGTTATTATAGTATAAAATCATATTTTTGTGACGTCATTAATGTGACGTTATACCCGGAATCAAACCGGAACTCTCAAAATGTCCAAATTCTTAAAGAATTTCACACATCCTGGCTAAATTTCGCATTGGCCACAGGCCTCGACCAAAGTAAGTTTACTCTTATTTTGATAGTTTGACACTTTGACTCAGTTTGCAACACTATTTTACGTGTTCGAGGCCTGTGGCAATAGCGAAAATTTAACTTTTGCTAACAAGCAAATCCTGATTCAACGCCGCCATTTCCGAGGTACAATAGATTCTGTGGCGAAATAACTGTACCAAGAACTTGTACAATTGCTATAAATAGAATAAATTCTATAATTTATTATTTTCTTATTTATAACAAACAAAAAAGAAGAAAATGGAGTAACAAGTCTTTGTTTTTAGCGAAGCTTCGTTAACCGCCGATCCGGCGAGGTTTTTAAATACATCCTCTTAACTGTTTTTATTAGAAAACAAGACAAATTGGTTGAAATAAAAATTATGAATTTGCCAATTATTCTAAAGTTCATTTCAAAGTTATTTTGTAATAATTGTGCTAGTGTGCTATGCTTTGCAAACAAAAATATGACAGTTTTAAATTAGAGCCGTAGTTTTTTTTCCGTAAAATTCTACATCCAGCAGATTGATATATATGGGTGTCAACATAAAAATCTAATACAAATTTCCTTTTAGATACACGTATTTTGTTTTTTAAAGACGAAATCGTCGAAATGTAACCTCCGCGGAATGTAATCTCATGTTGACGCTTTGATGAAGTGCTTTCTTTCACGTCCGCATTTTCTATCATTTATGGCATGCCAAGTTAACATTTTAAATAATTACCACGGATGGTGTAAATGAATTACAGAACTATGAAAAATAACATACACAGAAAATCGTAGGACATAAGAAGAAACCACGTGAGAATTTTGATACCATATTGCACAGTGGTTGAATAAGCTTTTCAATATTTCTTTATTTAAAATAAAAATTACAACGCCATGAGAGGGCATAATGTATACTGTCCGTGACATTCAACCAGAACAAATATTTTTTTTCAATGAAAACTGAAATAAAGATGAAACAAAACTATATGACACAATCATATAGCTTCGGTAACTTCAAATAAATATATGATATTCACGTGAGATAGCGTGCATAATTGGCCAGAATGCATACAAGGAGCAATTGTTTATTTGGTCCCGTTTTGGTGGTCTCTTTTAAATTTGAGTGAGACTATGTAACATGCGACAAACAAAAACGGCTGATTACTATGAATAAATTATCTATGAGATATCTTTATACTTCTGATTTTTTCGTTTCTTGTGGTGGCCCGAGGTTCGTTTTCAATCTGTAGTAAACTGTTTTTATATTTTTTTATCTCTGTTTTTTTTGTCGCCTCTATATGTTCATGGTGTTGGATGATTTTATT